TAGCCAGTGTCGTCAGACAGCTAAATCGCCATGCCTCTGGATAAACTGCTCCCCGAGTCCATCACCACGAGGCGTTCAGCAAGTGCGTTTCAGCGAGTGTATTTCAGCACGGGGACACCAAAATGGACACCACGACATCTGCTGTTCATGTCAAATCAAAGGGCTTTTAAACAGACTTACAGCAAACAAATCACTTCACGAACAAAGCAGTTTATCGTTCTCAACAACAGCCTCTCAATGCGAAAGAAACCAAGACTAACAGACACACACACACACACACACTGTCTGCACATCTGAGTCTGGTGTAGGAATGTAAACAAAGCCTGGCCTTGCTTTTTTATAACAGAACTACATGTAGGATGATACAGAGAAGAGTCTGATCTTCAGATAACATTTCCCATCCTCATATGCACTGCAGTCACTGTGCGCACAGGTCCATGCCGACTCTGTACAACGTTATGAAATATCACACATTTGAGATGAACCCTGCGATCTCATCATTTATCTGAAGAAATTAGTATCTTACTGACCATCATTCAATAAATGTCATCTCAAACAAAACTGGAAGCGATGCGACTAGTGTCTGATATGTGCATTCAGTACTAACCCACTAAACTAGTGTCCAATATTGCATTCAGCACTAACCCACTAAACTAGTGTCTGATATGTGCATTCAGGACAAAACCCACTAAACTAGTATTTGATGTGCATTCAGCTCTAAACCACTAGTGTCCGATATGTGCATTCAGTGCTAATCCACTAAACTAGTGTCCAATATTGAATTCAGCACTAACCCAATAAACTAGTGTCTGATATGTGCATTCAGTACAAAACCCACTAAACTAGTATTTGATGTGCATTTAGCTCTAAACCACTGGTGTCCGATATGCGCATTCAGTACTAACCCACTAAACTAGTGTACGATATGTGCATTCAGTAACCCACTAAACTAGTGTCTGATATGTGCAGTCAGTACAAACCCTATAAACTAGTGTCCGATACGTGCACTCATCACTAACCCACTAAACTGTTGTCTAGTATTCAGTACTGATATGTGCATTCAATACTAACCCACTAAACTAGTGTACGATATGTGCATTCAGTAACCCACTAAACTAGTGTCTGATATGTGCAGTCAGTACAAACCCTATAAACTAGTGTCCGATACGTGCATTCATCACTAACCCACTAAACTGTTGTCTAGTATTCAGTACTGATACGTGCATTCATCACTAACCCACTAAACTGTTGTCTAGTATTCAGTACTGATATGTGCATTCAATACTAACCCACTAAACTAGTGTCTGATATGCGCATACAGTACTAACCCACTAAATTAGTGTCTGATATGTGGACACAGTACTAACCCACTAAATTAGTGTCTGATATGTGCATTCAGTAGGCTACTGATATGTGCATTCAGTACTAACCCACTAAACATGAGTCCAATATGTGCATTAAGTCCTATAACCCACTAAAGTAGGGTCTAATATGTGCATCCAGTGGTAACCCACTAAACTAGTGTCTGATATGTGCAGTCAGTACAAACTCTATAAACTAGTGTCGGATATGTGCATTCAGCACTAACCCACTAAACTATTGTCTAATATGTGCATTCAGTACTGATATGTGCATTCAATTAGCCTGGATGCCAGCCCGAACTCCGCCCACAACATTTTTTGGTCGGGAAGTTCGGTCTGGACTCGATCCATTGAGGAGTAATTATGATCAGTCAAAAAATGATCGGGCCCAGGGCCATAGCCAGCTATTAGGTCACCGAGGTTCGGACCTCGGTCATTTTTTCACATTCAAAAATAAAATGTCATGCTCTGTGAATGATTAATTAGCCGTGTTTAAACCACCTCATATGAGTGTTCGCAATTCATGTTGCTGCGAGAAGCTAGCGTAGTGAACGGGGCTCGAGAGCGTGTTGTGAATGAGGGCGCGAGTGCAGTCTCCGTGTTGCCATATCCACCTAATGGAAAGGTGCAGTAATCTCCTGGACCTGTTTTTCCGATTTAATGCAACACTTTAGGAAGTTATTAAAATGGAAAGTTGAATGTTAGGGTTAGTGATATATTCATCTTATTTCCAAAACACAAGCTTTGAACTAATTTCATATTATTATTATTATAATTATTTTGTTTTGCTTGTTTTAGTAGCAATATCTGGCAACATTACTGTCGGTGTTAAAAAAAAGCTTAGCCTATAGACAAACTGCAATTGCAGAAAGCTACCACATTCAGTAAGACAAACGCAATGATCATCGTGATTATCTGTAAGAAATGTAGGCTATAACTGTAGACTGTATGTTACAGAATGAAATTTGCCAAATAGCCTTATTGGCCAGCTGGAAGACGGCTCATGCTGTTTCACAAAGTCATCATAAATAGGTTTGTTTATGTGGTATTGTGTTATTTTAGTGTTTCACTACAATAATTAAAGCAGTGTTTCTCTACTAGCAATCTATTCAGCCAGTATATTTGTGTTTGATCTGTGTGAATTACAGAAATATAAGACTTTGCTAGACCTACTTTTATTCTATATTTCTTAGCACAAAACTCTCCAGAAAGTGCCATTTAATGGTTTATTTTTCAAAAAATAAATAAATAAATTACACCGGACCCCCCTTGAGAGACTACTCCACACATAATAAAAAAAAATTAACAATTAACTCGTATACATACACACACATATATATGGCAAAATTCCTTTTAAAAAGGGACGCTGCTTCATGTCTATGCATGGGGAAATGTGGGTCCTTAGCCTAACAATTATTATAGCACAATTCTTTACACAACACCCCGGACCTCACTAATTTCCAGACCCTGGTTACGGCCTTGATCGGGCCAATCAAATTGCCAGGGCGGGCTTTATACGATGATGGACAGATGATCTGCAGGGACGTAATCATCACGTTATCAAAGAGCACTTGTCAGAGATGACTGCAGCGGAAGAATTGAGATGTATAGATTCCACTGTTGCGTCTTTTGTAAAATAAATCGACAGCGCATTCATTTTAATAGACAAACAGAGAACTGCAATCAAGGCATTTGTCAATCAGAAAGATATTTTTGGCGTCCTTCCTACATGATTCGGGAAAAGTGTAACTTATCAGCTGGCTCTGACGGTCGTTAAGAGAAGATGGGACGTAATGAAAAGCCTGTGGTCGTTGTGGTTTCTCCTTTGGTGGCACTCATGGAGAAGTAAGTAAAAGAAGCAACACTCGTTATTTAGGCCATGTCTCCACTAAGGCCCCGTCCACACTACTGCGTTTTCGTTTAAAAACGGAGACCTTTTGCTACGTTTGCACCTCCCGTCCACACTAAAACGGGAAAAACGAAGACCTAAAACAGAGAAGTTTAGAAACGCTGCAGCTGCGTTTTGCGTTTTGAATCTCCGGAGGGCGTTTTAGTGTGGACGAGACAAAACGGAGGAGTTTACAAACGATGACACAGAGGCTCACGCTCGGTTCTATGATTGGGTGTCATCAGTCATGACATATCTTTCCCTGATTCGCCAACCACTGTTTACACCGACGCGCGCATGCCCAGTGTTGGTGAATGGTCACGTGATCCACGTTTTCAGTCGTTATAGTGTGGACGGAGATAAATTCTAATACGCAGGTAAAACGCTAGTGTGGACGGAGATCGTTTTCGTTTTAATTCTCCGTTTTTAAACGAAAACGCAGTAGTGTGGACGGGGCCTAATACGTTTTCGTTTGAAAACGTATATTTTTCTCTCCGTTTTGGCCTTCCGTCCACACTGAGACGCCGTTTTAAGTCAACAAAAACGTATCGTTTGGAAAACGCACTCCAAAGTGGATAAATTTGATTAATTTCACGTTGTAGTTTGGACAGTGAAACCGGAGGGATTTCAAAACGATGACGTAAGTTTAGTCATGGGATCCATGTAGTACCAATAGATATTCATGTTTATCGGTATTGTGCCTGTTATGTGTTATTCATTTTTACACTATTGCTAAAATGTTACTTTCTATGTTACTTAATATGTGCTATTCTTCATAGCACAGTACTGCAAAGATAACAGATGTAGTCTACTCACATTTGCTGTCCTGCGGCAAAACAGGAGAGCAGTTGCGTTTTAGACCAAACATATGGTGACTGAATGCGACCTGGATGCATCCGTGATGGTGAGATATTTTGCTAAATAAAATTATCCTGTTATTGTGCGATGACATTATTATTTATTTTCCCATCTGCATCATCTCAGTGAGCTTTTGTGAAGTTTCACGCATGCGCAGTAAAGTGAATTTAGAAGTTTCTCATCCACACTGAAACGTCGGAAAACACCTGAAAACGCTAGTGTGGACGGAGAGCGTTTTTAAACGAAAACCCTGTTTTCAAATGTATCCGGATTAATGTGGACGTAGCCTTAACTTCTAAAATAAATAAAGTTAGGCTACGTTCTGTATTTGAAAACTGCGCTATGCAAAGGAGTTGACTTACTGCGTTGCTCTGATTGGTTGTAGGTCTACAGACTATCCAATTGAGTGGAGAGTTTTTTTTTTCCTGGTTCGGTTACGACACGCCTCATAATCAAAGCCCAACGGAGGAGTTTCAGACTCATATTCTCTCTTGAATATGACGAAGTCAGGCTAGCATTCAATACTAAACTAACCCACTAAATTAGTGTCCGATATGTGCATACAGTTCTAACCCACTAAATTAATGTCTGATACGTGCATTCAGTAGGCTACTGATACTGTATGTGCATTCATTACTAACCCACTAAACACGAGTCCAATATGTGCATTAAGTCCTATGTAACCCACTAAACTAGTGTCTAATATGTGCATCCAGTGGTAATACACTAAACTAGTGTCCAATATGTGCATTCAGTCCAAACCCACTAAACTAGTGTCTGATCTGTGTGTTTGTTCAGTACTACCCCGGAGAGTGTGTGTTCAGTATTACCCCAGCAGCGCCCAGGGTGTGTGTTCAGTACTACCCCTGTAGTGCCCGGAGTGTGTTTAGTACCTTGTCGAGCTCGTCGTGCAACTCGGAGAGGGTGGGTCTGATCAGCTTCTCGCCCAGCGGAGCCGCGGTCTGCCGGTAGAAGTCTATGTTGGGCACGGCGTCGATGGTGTTGTGCCCAAAGGTGCGGAGGTAGTATGTGTTGGTGTGTGTGTCGTAGTGGTGGTGGTGCTGGCCGCCGCTGGAGGAGTGCAAGCTCCCCTCGCTCATCACCGTGTCCCCGTTCTGCGCGATGTCCGCCGGCGCGGCGTCCGGGCTCGAGGCCGCGAAGTTCACAACCCGAAACCGGCCCTTGGCTTCCTCGCCGCCCGCCGCAGAGTCCCGACGCGCGTCGGATGGCGGCTCGGCGTCGTACGCGGGCGGGGATGAGTCGGAGGCGTCGTGGGTATGCCCGTTCCCGGCGGATTCGGACACCAGGTCCACCTGAAAGCGGCTCTGGCTCGGTGTGGGACCGGCGGGATGGAGCGCGTCAGGCTCAGGCGCGGAGAGAGAGTCGCCCGGGCCGGCGAAAGGCGGAGGTGATGCCGACATGACGATTTAGAAAAGCTTTCCAAAAGCTGATACTATCGGTTAAAAGTGCTGAAGAGCCGATGGATGTGACTGAACGCAGACACGGATTCTGCAGGAAGACTAAAATAACGCGCCGCGCTTTCCTCCGAACCCGCAGCGCGACGCGCACATGCGGATGCAAATTGAGATCAGCAGCACTTCCAGTCAGAAACTCCTGACGAGTTTAACGCGCTCAGTGAAATATCCTCGGAGTGTACGCTCACAGGGACCTTAAAGACCCAGAAGATGTCCGTGAATCGCGCTTTCCGTGGCTAATGTGCGCCGTGATGCTGCGCGACCTTGCCGCAACTCCTCCTCTCGTGCCCGCGAGGCTCGCTGCGCTTTATACGCGCACTGCAGCAGGGCAGCGATGCTGGGAGACATCGCGAGAGGACGAGCGCTCGCGAGATCTCGAGTAGCACCTCATTGCAGTACACAAGATCCAGGGGGCGGAGTTGGATGCAGATCTAAGGGGTGGAGATGGGTAGGATCCGGCATAGATGTTTATAGGATCAGGGGTGGGGATAAGATTTCGTGTTCTGCAGTGAGGAAAGAGGCTTGTTTGAGATGCGCCTCGCCTGCATTGTAGTCGAGAGTAGGCGGCTGCAGTTAGAGGAGGAGTGAAAAAAGCGCATTCAAGTCGGACAAATCTCGGTTCTCGCAGTGAATCAGACACCTGTGAGATCAATGATATCGCGGGATTCACGGGATTCATGCTCGTGCACGTGTTGCTAATAAACTGGATGTGATTTAAGTTCTGTTGCTTTTATATGAAAATAAATATAATGAACAAGACACCCAAAGTACTTGTTATTTAATTAGGCTACATTCCAAATATGTGTTTATCCATCATTTTTTTATTTAATACAGAAGTGTTTTTATTTTTTTTTTAAATAAAAATTACATCACATAATAATCCATATGGCACTGTCAGAGAGTTTATTCACCCATATGTATACACATAAAACATGATATCAGTTTTAAAATCAAACATTTTAAAAGAGAACAATTCATCACTGTTGTTTTTTTATTATTTATTTTATTTTTTATTAGGATGCAAGTTATAAACATACAAGCACTACAATTTGTGAAACAAATATTATAGCGACAAATAAATAAACATCAGAATAAAATTAATGATAAAAAAATCAAAATAAATCAAAATAAACTTACAAACTTCATCATCTATAAAATGAGAGAAATTTTCCTAATTTTCACTTGAACATTTTAGAGTATATTTGAGTTACTGACATAGCTTTCTTATTTTTAACCCGTTTAAGAGAATTGAAACTGATATATATTGTGAGTCTGACTCACAATAGGCCTATATATCAGTTTCAATTTGAAAAAAATAAATAAAACATGGCCTTTATTTGGAGAATTTAGCTTTATGAATATGGAATTTACCTACATCACTGTTGTTTAAACCAATGAGCATTAAGCAGTGTCGTCAGCAAGTCGATCAGCGCAGTCGGTGGAGAGCTGTGCGCGACTGCAGAATCCGACCCTTCCGCCTTGCGCTCGCGAGAGTTTTTTCACATACGTCGGCATGACATCAGAGCCAGGTGGACCGTTCGCGGACACATTTCTAACTTGCATGCATCTCGCGCTGATCACCGGTGATCGATTCTGCGCAGATTTTGCTCATCTCAAACAAGCCTAACATCTCCGAGAACTGCCCGCTCCATCTCTACAGATCAGGGGTGGAGACTACAGCAGGAACACACACACCCCAGCGATTGAGAAGGGTTTTTTTTTTGTTTGTTTGTTTGTTTTTTATTTAACTTTCATAAACGCTTAAAATGACATTTAACATCAAACATAAGACAAACAGATATTGGGGAAATAAATAGCAGATCTTACATTGTAGGCCTACATCGATTAAAACATTACATTTTATGTTTTTTACACTTCTTATTTCTTGTGATTGAATTTAAAGAGGCGTGGGATATTTTAAGATCTTTCTTAACAAAAAATGAGCTTTATGTAACTTCCCAGGAAGAATATTAACTTTAATCTGTTATCAATTAAATCTGAACCAACCAGCAGTCCAAGAAGAAGATCATAGCCTCATCTATTATCTATATCAAAAACCAACATAGCTTCCAAAAGTCTTTTGGAGTATTTACAATTACAAAATAAATGTATGAGAGTTTCAGATTCAGTATTACAAAAACAACATTGTGGTGAGATATCTGTTGTAAACTTATTAAGAAATTGCTAAATATATACACTAAAAAAAATTATGTTGACTTTAATTTTTTTTCCGTGAAAAGGTTCCACATAATTATGTTAAACAAACATAATTTATTCATGTAACTTCAACATAATGGAATTAAGTCATTTTAAGCGATCCTATTAATGGAGTGATTTTTTTAAAGGCTTCCTGACATGATTCAGGTATTTATTATATGCATTCATCCAATAATATTTCATTTATTTTAGTGGCATAATTAAATTGATAGACCATAGCCAGCTATTTGTTAGCAGTAGCACATATTAGCATCTTAAATGCTAAGATTAACATGTTAATTTTTTAACCAACCAGATAATATTTATATCAGTCCACACCCAAACAAAATGCTCCACTCTTCTCCACAATGGTAACCCACTGTAATTTGGTTCTAATAATTCAAATGTAACTGAACATTAAACACAATTACACACTATCAAGTTTTCCCCTTTTCTCAAAAAAAAAAAAAAAAAAACATAAAATAACACATTTATTCTCTCTTAATTCAACCATATGCAAAGTATGCTGGGAACTAACAAGCACCGTCCAGTTTCAGGTAATGCAACACAAATCAATCATGTAATCCAACACAAGCGGATTAAGTAGGCCTAAATTTAATTTTGACATATATTTAAGCAGATTGAACACAATTAGGTTCGGGCAAAATGGCAGTTGACTTGCATACTGTCACCCTGGATGTAGAATTTTTCACTTAACATAAATGATTTGTGTTTAGGCAACGCGTTAGGATTTAGTACTGTTAAATTGAGACATATGTGGACCTTAAAGGGTCATGAAACCCCAAACCAAATTTTCTGAGATTATAACAGAGGTATGTGTGTTGAACACCATTGAAGACAATGTTAGCATCTGTTAGATTTAATAATAAGGTTAAAATGGTTAAATTTGAGTTTTTTTCCGCTTTTTTCGTCTTCCGGGTTTAAAATCTTCATTGTAGTGGGTGACGTGGCAGTGCACTGCACAGTGCGTTGATGACTCATCTGTGTTATCCTATGAGAAGACACGGCCTCTTAATTATTCATGACACCACGTGGATCTTTCCAACGACAGACATGACAACCTGTGATATCGTGTAGTAACGTTAGATGAGAGAGGCAATCATGGGACGCAAACTATTTGTTTTCATGGTGCAAAGTCCAAGTGCGTTGAATATGTTCCCCGCGATGCTGCCAGGGCTAGACTCTGGCTCTGGACGGTTGGTTTGCCATTAAACACGGACACGTCTAAACCTAATCCAAACTATAGTGTGTGCCGCGAACATTTTCGCGAGAGAGCTGCGACAAGTGGAGAATGATGGACTTCGCCTTGTTGACAACTAATCCAAGTTGCATCTTGCGAGTGATGCGGTATCCCAAGGACTTTCTATCCCTTCAGAGGTGTGTGTGTGTGTGTGTGTAAAATGAGAAGTCATTTATTATGAGGGTTCAGATGGCGCGTAGACTATGCACTTTCTTTTTACTGTCTATGACTATGCACGTGTGGCAGAATGGGATACGGACACATCAGACAATTAACAGGTTTCAGGGCTTAGGCCCAGGCAGTTTGCAGACTACGCCACGATGGGACTTACACCCAAAGAATTAAGCATTAGGTTCAACCAGGCACTCAAGTTCGTTGACAAATAGCCAGAGACAGTGGTTCAGTACAAAAATAGTATTTTTATTTTTTCTCTTTTTCACCCTTAAACTCAATGAACACACTCAAGAGAGAAGGCAATAGAGCGGAGTCTTACCAGTGGGAAGCTAGTGACTCAAGCAAGGAGCGTCCATGAAAACACCCCATTCACACGTGTCAAATTTCACTCACACACTATAAGAGAAATGACCACACTTGGTGAACACACAGCCACAGCACACCACGGGACCCGCCACCACAAGGGGCACTGCTCCCACTGGCAGTTCTCAGCACCTGGACAATGGACAGACATGTGGAAGTTGAACAAAATTACGCACACAGACTACATAAACAATGTCTAATAAGTCACCTGTTCTAAAGTCCAAGGTGGCACTGGCTAACAATATGAACAGAGACTCAATTAAAATAAACTGTACTGTTCTCCTTGCATGTACAGATGCAATTTAACAGCCAGCCAAACTCCATCCATAAAGTACAGATGAGTCAGGATTCATCTTAGTCTTTGCCGTTTAATAAGATGCCAGGTACATTATGAATTAGGAGTAAAACTGTAAATAATAGCAAATAAACAATAATCAGAACAATAATACAATGACTGAAACTCTTATCTGACGACATGACAAATTAAATCAGTGTCATCAATTCACTTATGGAATTATCAGGTAACAAAGAAAATAGCAACAAAGATAGATATTGATTCATATAGTGACGTTATCACATGAAAGTAGAACGGAATCAACACATTATATGCTATGTCAAAGGAAGGCTAGGCTAATAGCTAAAGGCTATCACAAAAATAACATTAAGTCAAAGCTCCAAATAAACTTATCGCAAATATAAGCAAATATATATCATCAAACATTATGCAATGAAGAATTAACTTACAGATGATGCTTTTACAAACACAAAACAAAGGATGGCTTCGAAAGATTGAAGAGAAGCTGACTGCATGAAATGTGGTCACTTATATTTCTAGACAACTACCACAGGGGGGCGCCAGAACTAAACCAATTATACAAAACAATTCGAGTGACAATTTAACTTGAAGCAGAACACTCCCCGCCAGACGTCCTAAGGATGTCTCATTTAAGTCTTAATTTTCCTTAGGCAACAGCAGAACAACTTCTGTAATTGGTCTGAGATACTTTACTTCCTTTCCAGATCCATTTTTAGTAACTTTTAACTGAACCTTGCGTACTCTGCCATCAGTGCTTGGAAATACTTTGGACACAAGAGCCATTGGCCACTTGTTACGAGGGCTCTGATTGTCTTTTAGAAGTACAAGATCTCCTTCTTGAATGTCGGGTTGAGTACTATTCCATTTGCGGCGAATTTGTAGTGTTGGGAGATATTCACGTCTCCAGCGATACCAAAAATTGTCCGCAAGACTCTGCACCTGCTTCCACTGTTGTCTGAACATGTCACTATCTGAGAAGTTCCCAGGAGATGGAGGAGCACCAACC